ACTACTGCAGCTCATATACATATACTGTATCCTCATTCATTGTTGCTCCAAGTTTGGCACTGCCAACATTAATTTTCATTACTTAGAGAAATCTATCAACCTGCTTCAGACATTCTGAAGCATTTGCTTCCATTATATCCATCACTTTACAGTATAATGCAAATAAACAGTTCACTTCAGGTTGTGATGATTTAAAATAGGCTTAAATACAATACCAATTACAATGATAACTTGATTGTTTTGATTTATTCTGACCATCTCTCTGATGGTCATATAACCAGGTTCACCCAGCCTTTTCTCACCTTTACAACATACCATGTCTTAAACCCATAAAAGTCTAATTAAGAATGCAGCCTTGCTTCCTTAACTCTATCAACAACTTTACCCTCTTCTCCTTCTCCCTTACCCGTCTCCAGTCTTTCCCATTTCTCTCTGCCACCCAAGCATGTCTCACTTGCCTTCCATCTTTCAGCATCATCTCTTACCAGCATAAGCCATCCAAGGTCAGGTCTATTCATTCTTCTGGAAATCTGTTTAATACGGACAGGTACTGACCCTGGTTTGGAATGTGGCCCAGAGCTGTGCCTTGATCAGCATGCTGAGAGATCACACCGTCTGTTTTGGTTTGGAAAATATCCAAGGGTCCTTGTGAAGCAGCAAGTTCAGGACTGGAATATTTTCAAGAAACCTCAGTAGATTTCTGGATGTTGAATTTGGAACATGGCCAAAGGTCTGAGTGAGAGTTAAAATTGGGAATGAAATTTCCTCTTTATGGGCAAGGATAAATTTACAAGTTTGGAATTGCCCCCTATGGTTCAAATAAGAAAGGGTACTAAACTTTTAACTTTGCAACCTGTTAAAAGTAAAACTTGCTCAAAACCCAGACAAAGGTGCACAATGGTCAATATTCATGTTAGTCCTAGTGTTCAAGCAAAAAAGCATGATTAACATTTAGAAGCTGGCAAAGTGTCAGACTTATCAAAGACCCCTGATAGTGGTGGATAAAGGCTAGTATTTAAGCTGGAAGTAAACCCCCATGTAACTATTGAAGCATCTCTAAAGAAGCGTATCCAAGTGTCAGATTTACCCATGACCCTGTCTGGGGAATACATGGCAGGAATTTTTATAGTAAATGGAGACAAGGGTGCTGATGCAGATTAAAATACAGTGCATGGTGATGAGGAGAGCTCATGTTACTTATATACACACTATAAAAATTCTAACAGTTATAAGATAAAGACTTTTTCCAATATTAAGAGTTTCATTCATATTTACCAATATTTCAACATAGACAGCAGGACTGAATGCTGGGAATTCAGATCTCAAACCAGGAGTTCTTGTACCCTTCATTTTTTGGACAAAATACCCACGAGCATTCTCCAGACTTCGAGAATACCATCACACAACTGCTGTTGTAGTGAAATACTAAAAGGTCCAACTTTAAAATACCATTTTTATATCATCATCACTGAATCAGCTTTTCAGCTGCAGCAGTTTGTGGCTTACTCTACATACAAAAAAAAGTTCAGTAATTTGAAAACAAAACAAAACACAGGACTTAATGACTTCATCTCCGTTGACATTGTTTCATATTCAGTAATATTCTGCAGCTTTGTGTTTGAAATCAGACTTAAGAATTCCAAATTTCTGCAAAGTAATTTTAAAATCATTGGAAAAGATTTAACCCTCAAAGACCATCCTTACAGATGCAAACAGACACACACTTGCATACTGTTCATCTCTGTATTCTGTTCACCTACTGTTAATATGTGCGCACACACACACACACACACACACACACACACTAAGAAATTACTATACAACCCTGATTCAAAATCTAAGGTTTACAGAGTTAATGTTATATCTATTTGGTCCTCTTTATAAAAGAACAGAATTTCTACTTGCCTTGAAACATAATCTGTGCCACAATAACAGAGAGTAAACAACCACACTGATGCCGATCTGTACCACTAGAGAAATAATAGACTAGACTGTAATCTTTCATTTTTTTAGCACATGCTTTTGTGCAGCGTCTTTTAATTACAGATATGCAATTAGGAATTATTCATACAGCAAGATAAACTGTAACCTAAAATTACTTTTTTGTTGTTCGTGATTTATAAAAAAAAAAAAAAAAAAAAAAAAACTTTGTTAAGGGGAAAGACAACAAAAAAC